ATATATATATATATGATTCCATCTATTAAAGTTCAAACATGGCCAAATTAACTACACTGATAGAATGCAGAATGGTAGTTACCTATGAAAAGAAAGAAGTAGTGATTGGGAGGGATAGAAAAGGCTTTGTGGAGTGCTGACAATGATCAGTTTCTTAACTAAATAGTGGTTATTCAGATATTTGCTTTGTGTTAGTTTGAGCTGTGTATTTTGGTACTTTCCTGTGTGAAATATTTCACAACTTTGAAAAATGTTTATTATCATGAAGTCCAATATAAAGGATATGAAAGCTCATTATAATAATACACAGGGTTGTTGTGACTGTCATCCATCCCTTTCATTCCTCAGCTCTGGATTCAAACTGTCTGAGTTCAATCCCAGCTCTTGCCATTTACTGACTGAGTGACCTTGGGCGAATATATGCCTATATGCTCAACTATAAAATCAAAATGATGGTACCTGCTATTCAGTCATTCTGAGGACTGAAGAAGAAATACAAAGTGCTTAGAACACAGCCCAGCACTAAGTACTCAATAAATAAATAGTAGCTGCTGCTACTAACCCTTCCTCTCTGGCCTCAGGGTATCTGCTTATGTATAGGGAGAAGCGGAGGTTTTTCCACTAAGGGAAACTTCTGAAGAAAAAAATAATTTCCTTCTCTTGGAGCTCCTAGGTAGGCCAGAGGCAATATGCAGCCTTCTGCCATTAGTCAGATGTCCAGTTTGGCTCTCAACAATGGCCCCAGGGAAAGCAGGGAAAGAACAATTAGACAGGAACATTTTACCACCAAAAAAGATTTTTATTACAAAACAAATTCTAATAAAATCAGGCCTGGTCTTCAACCCCTCCTCTGGGTAGAGGCCCTGGGATGGAGCAGGGTAGGGAGATAGAAGGTGGAGGGCACTGAAAGAACAGAGCAGGCTGACCTCCCTTCATCAGTCTCAGCTGCTGCTCTCCTTTTATAAAGGGCTAAAAGAGCTCTTCCAAAGGCCCTTGGGAGAGACACCATCCTTCCTGCCAGGAAGGACCACTGCTGTCACCAAACTGTTGGATCCAGGTCTCAGCTGACTCTTAGCAGAGGCCACCCAGGGTCACTCAGCCTGAGCGATGGCGTAGGAGAGCAGCCATAGCAGCAGGGGGGCCAGAATAAGGACAGCAAGCCAGACAGCAAAGCTGGCCAGGATGAGCCTCCGGGCCCGGGCCCCCCAGTGTACTGCCTCCTCGGACCGGCCTGCCTTATGCCGCTCTTCTGCCTGTGGGGGCAGGTTCTTGGTTAGGTTCTCCCCCTGTTTCTGCCCAAAATGGCCCATTGCCCCATTCCACTCCCCCATCATAATAGCTCAAAGCCTCACACCCAAATATTTCACTTTCCTCTACAAAATAGGGTACCCATCTTTTCAAGGTGGCCATTGTTAGCTCTCTAAATCACACATGGAAAAAGTACTTTTTTTTTTTTTTTTTTTTTGGTACTGGGGATTGAACCTAGGGGTGCTTTACCACTGAGATACATCACCAGTACTTTTATAAATTTCAAGACAGGGTCTTAAATTGCCAAGGCTAGCCTCAAACTTTCGATCCTCCTGCCTCAGCCTCCAGAGTAGCTGAGATTATAGGTGTGAGCCTCTGCACCTGCCAGGAAAAGCACTTTTTAATCCTTTCATTTCTTATTCATCTCAGATTCATTCAGAATTTGGAATTCTTGACTTTTTACTCATGTCCAGTCAAATTCCATTCTCATAGCCCAGTAGGCATCATCATTTTCACCATTAAGAATCCTTTTCATAAATTTGCTCTAATGAAAGTCAGAAATTCTTATGGTAATAAAAATACTGACCGTTAAAATACATTTAGGGATGAGAATATTCCAGCATGATATTTAGCCTGAGTAGTAGCCTTTCAAAAGGTACATGTATGGTCTGTAAGTGTAGCTCAATGGTAGAGCATTGCCTAGGACACATAAGACCCCAGGTGGTTCAATCCCCAGCACTGCAAAAAAAAAAAAAAAAAAAAAAAAAGAAGAAGAAGAAAGAAAAAACAAATGGTACATCTGCAGGTGAGGCCCTCTCAAAGACCCCACTGTTTCTTCCAGACTCCTGTAGATTGCTCTCATTATTTGCTCAGCTGACCCTAGTCTTGCCCATTTCAATTTACCCTCTACATAGGCCTTCAGAACTGATTTTTCTGAAACACAAATAATACCAAGCCACTCTCCTCTGCAAAAATCTTTAAATGGCTCCCCAGTACTTTCGAAATTCTTAAACACAGAATCTGAGGCCCTCAGGAATGTGGATCCTCTGGCTTCCTCTCTCACTATTCCTCACTGGATCTGCCATGCCGAACAAACAGTCCAGGCCTTTGTACACACTACTGCCTTTACCTGGAGTGACCTTTCATTCTTATCCACTCATCCTTTAGGGTTACTTTCCTGTCACCTCCCCTAGGCAGCCTTACCTACTCTGACAAGACACAGACACACAAAAACACAGACCCCTTCTGGCTCCCAGAATATCCTGTGCTTCCTCTATTACAGTACTGATGAACTAAAGTCTATTAATAATTATCCATTTTCACTGCCATCTTTTCATTAGACTATGGGTCCTTTGACAACAGGAACCATATCTTATTCTGGCACTAACCCAAACCCAAGTACCAATAGATATTTAGTAACTGTTCAGCCAATACAGACAGGTCAAATTCACAAAACCATTGCCTTATACCCACTCCCCTGCTCCCATAGGAATTGCTTTCCTCACCTTGATGGCAAACACAAGAGCCATGACTCCCAGGCAAGAGCAGCCACAGATAATGCTAGTAGCTGCCAAGTAGCGGAGGCGGAGCCAGCAGCAGCGGATGGGGGATGGAGAATGAGCAGCTCCCGTGTTGCTCACCATGATCTCCACTGCCTTCTCCTCGTCCTCCATCACCTGTGGGCGATACAGTCAAGGTACTTGTAAGCCCAACACATGAGCTCCTGGCCTGGCTTGCTCTGACTCCACCCCTCAGAGAATGCTGTCCTCATGGCCTAGCCCAACTCTCAGGAATGCTGCCCTACTGGGAAATTCCTCTAGTGACTCAGAATAGGAAAGTAAATGTGTGGCTAGAATCCTTTTCCTTCAGCTTAAGATTCTAAGTCTCTGAAGGCAATCAAGTATGAACATATTACTGTTTTGACAAGTGGGGAGAAGCAAAATGACAAATGCATACCTAGAAACAGAAGAAACAAAATCTTGAAAGCTTAAGGCTAAGTGATTTAAAACTGTACTTCAAAGGGTTCTAAAGTCACCTGAAGTTCCCCAGAGGCTGCCTCTGAGTATTGAGGAACCAGAGAGCAGGACCCTAAACTCTGTACTCCACTTCAAGCAAGCTGCAATTTCACATGAAAAAAAAAAAAAAAAATTCTGGCTGGTTCTGGTCATACACACTTGTAGTCCTAGTTATTCCAGAGACTGGGACAAGAGGATCACAAATTTGAGGCAGTCTGGGAAAATCAGACTCTGTCTCAAAATAAAAAGACTGAAAAACGAGGGTGTGGGGGGGTCTGGGGATGTAGCTCAGTGGTGACGTGCTTACTTAGCATGTGCTGCGCCCTAGTCCAATCCCCAGTACCAAAAAACAAAGCAAAACAAAACAAATACCACCTCACATCTGGGAATGGAAAAGGAAAAATTCACATTCCCCCCCCCCACAGCTGAAGAAACTTAAGACCTTATTCCCCCAAATTGGGGCCTCCTTTTCTATGCCTCCTTGCCACCTCCTCTCTCCATTTTAACCCAAACCACACAACACAATCAGATTAACAGAGTCCAAATGACCTCATTATCCATACAGAAACCTGCATAATGATGACCTACTTACTCATTTCTCACCTCCCTATCTCTCAGGCCCTCAAAGCTCCAGCATCAACCACTTTTCCACCCTAATGTTCAATCATTCCCCTTTAGATGGGACAAAATGAAACCACCTACAGTTCCACATAGTAACAAGACAAAAGGGTGAAAAAGGCAAGACAAGTAGAGAGCAATAAAATGATATGTCACAAAGCTGCAGGGGAATAGGTACTGAAGAAAAGTCAGATGAGGAAAACACAGATGCCAAGTCAGCAGCGGGAGAAGAACCCAAGGGGCCAAGGTGTCCAGATCAGAAATGTAAACATGAACAGGGGCTCTTACCTGGCTATAAGTCTTGAGGGACTGTGAGTTTCGGCTCCTGCCTCAGGTTTGATTTGGCTTGGGCGGTAGAGCTGACTCAGGGCTCCAAGCCAAGCCCAGGGGTGGGGTAGGGTGGCCAGCCACCATCTGAATAGCCCCAGGAGCTGAGAAAGGGGTGTGGCTGACTCAAACCAGTTTGGCTAGGAGGAGAGGAGGAGAGGGCCAGGGGTGAAGCAAGTGGAAGTAGGATACCTGCTTTTTTATGAAAGGAAAGGAAGCACCTAAGCAAGAGGGTTAAAAGAAGGGAAAAGGTGAGGCATTGGAGAAAGCTGAGGGAAAGGCCAAGAGCCAAGGGGACAGAAGGGAGAGGAGAGAGGAAGTGTGTCTGAGTGACTTAAACTGAGATATTTTTTGGAAACACACCCTGCCAAATCAGATTTGCTTATCTTTCCTCCTCTTGAGGGTGTTTTCTGCCTTAAAGATATACAATCCTGGTTTAGAGATCAGTTAAATATGAGGGTCTTCCCAAGAGCAAGAGTAGAAAAAATGATGCCCAAGTTCCCACCCAACCCTCCACCAGACCAGAAAATCAGAAGCCTCCTTACGCGGATGCTCGTACAGAAACTAAGTTTATTATTTTTTTCTTCTTAAAAAAAAGAAAAAAAAAGAAAAAAGAAAAAAAAAAAAAAAACTCATTGTAGAGAAGCCCCATCCCCCTTCCCCTAAGGGTGTGGGGCTGTGAAGATAGCTGGGGAATCAAGTACAAGGGGGTGGGGACAGACTATCTTGCCACCCTTAACACTGCCCAGCCATGTGGGGTGGAAGGGAAGGGGGATTGTGATGAGCCCCATTTCCATGACAACCAGTTGCCTACCCCCTACTTTGGTGGAAAGAAGGGAGAAGGCCCTTACATCTCCCTGGAGGCTTTCCCCCTCAAAAGACTTCAAGTAGTGGTTAACAGAGTCAGGCCTGGTCATGGAGGGAGAGCAGCCATGGTGGAAAGCCTAGGTGGAGGGGCAGCCCGCTCACGTCTTGGCCTTTCGGCCTCTGTGACTAATGGTAGGGCCAGATAGGTGGGGAGGGGCACTGCTGCGCAGGATGCGCTGGTCCCCTTGGTTGGTGGTCCCAACAAGCCTGCGGGGGCCAGGCCGGCGCCGTGGGGTCCCATCCCCTTCTTCCTCCTCACCTGAGGCTTCAGCCTCAGACTCCTCTACTGAACCCTCAGGCCCCAGGGGACTTGGAGGCTGTAGACGGCTCCGCTTTGCCAGCCCAGGACCCCCACCAATTGGGGCCCCCGCCCGTTTGCGAGGCACCTTCTCAGTCTCTAGTGGGGGAACTAGAGACCCTGGACGCAGCCGGGTTGAGCGCAGTTTTGGGGCTAATGAAACCACAGGAGGTGTCAATTCTAATCCGCCTGGCCCACTATCTACTAAATCCAGGTCATCCTGAATTACAGCCACCACCATGGACCCTTCACTTTTCCGTCCCCGCGTTCCCTCAGCTTCCAGCCGCAGGCGGGCCAGGCGGGTAAGGGGGCGGCTTCCATCCTCATCAGAAGAACTACCCTCACTCTCCCCGAGGCCCTGGGCTTGCCGACGCCTCCCTAATCCACAGCTCTCAAGGACAGAAGAGCTGTCACGGTCCAAAACAGGATGTTGGCTGGGCCGAGGTGATGGTGGATTCTTGGGAGGTCGGCCCCGCTTTCGCTTGGGTGGGGATGTTGAAATGGTGACGGTGGTGACAGTGTTGGCGACAGTAGCAGTGGGACAGGATAAAAGTGGTAGGGGTGGTGGCAACGGTGGTGGGAGTGGCTGTGTCCGGCTCTCTAAATTGCCATCCCCTGGAGAGGACATAGTCCCAGGGATGGGCAAATCCCGTGCCTTAGGGGGCCGCCCACGCCTTCTTTTCTCCACAGGTGACAGGATGATGGGCTCTGGTCTGTGAATTGGTCGGGGTCCAAGAGGCTGGGGCCCAGGAATAAGCTGAGGCTCCAAGACAGGCTCCGCAACAATTAAGGTCTCAGCTCCAGGAACTGGGTCAGCCCCATTGGTTGTTCCCTTAGAGGTGGATGAGGGTGCCTCCTCCACCCCTCTCCCGGCATCTGCTGGAGACCTGTTCTTCTTGGGGGGCCTTCCCCTCCGACGTTTCACAGCAGGTGGAGTGATAGCAAGCAGTGCCCCTTCTCCATTCTCTGGGCTGCCCCCACCAGTCATTCCCAGCTCAATGTGACGACGAGCTATGAAGGGTGGCTGGGTTGGTGTAGGCAGTGAGGATGAGGGAGCAGCTTCACAGGGCCCACTGGTGGGAGGTGAGGATTCTGGCCCTGACAAGCTGCGGGTAGATGGGCTTCCTGGGCTGGCACTAGTCTCAGAGACCCCAGGTATTAGGGTGCTGGCAGTTCCCCGCTGCTGTCGCCTTCGCCTCACAAGTTCCTTTTCTTCCACCACAGTTATTAGCCGTCCTGGAAGCTTGCGAAGCACTTTGGGGCCTGGAGGTTGCCCTGAACGACCAGCCCCCTGACCCCTAATTTCTACATCAGCACTGGTGCGACGACGAGGGGGCCGGGCAGGTGAAGGACCCTCAGGAGAGGAGGTGGCTGAAGATGAGGTTGATGGGGCTGTGACCTCAGGTGCAGCAAGTTCTTGTGGCTTCTCTGGGCTTGAGGTTGGGGTCTGAACTTCTTCTACCAGCTCTTCCAAGTTCCTGTCAGCCTCCAGTGGCTCCTGAAGTGGCTCATCAGATGTTGCTGAAGGTGGGAGCTCCAGCCCATTGCTCTCTCTCAGACCCGAGGGCAACTCCTCACCATCAGGCAGCACTGTAAGGATGGTCCCCTCAGCAGAAGATGGTACCCCCTGCTCTTGACCATTGGGGATGCCGTCAGCCTCCAAGGTTGGGCTAGGTGCAGAAGGGATGAGAGGAAGGTTCTTCTCAGATACGGGCATGATCTCAACAGAAACTGGCAACAGATCCTTAGGGGGTACAAGAGGAAGCGGGGAGGTCTCAGAACTGGTCATGCCAGCCAGCTCCAGGGACTCCGTAGATGCTAATGCTTGTACACGGAGGAGTTCTGCCTCAGGCCCCAAGCCCAAAGAGAGGTTGGTGACCGGGGAAGAGATGGGCACAGAAGGTGAACCAAGCAGGAGAGGAGAGGAAGGAGTTAAGAGAGAGGTTTGGGTGGGTGGTGGGGTATGAGGTGGTGGAGAGGTGCAAGCAGGAGGAGGGGTACAGGCAGGAGAACAAGAGGGAGGAATCTGTGGAGGAGTTGGGGGAGAAGGCATGATATGGACAGGAAGAATGGCTATTGGATTAGGGGCTGAAATGGGTACTGGGGCAAGGACTGGGGCAGGGACTGGGGCAGGAAGTGGGGCAGGGACTGGGGCAGGGACTGGGGCAGGAATTGCAGCAGGAGCTGAAGCTGGAGCAGGTCGAGGCCTAGGTGCTGGCCTGGGAACTCGCTCCCTGGCAGGGCTGCAGCGGGGGTGTGTGGAGGTAATTCGGGTATGATGGGTAGATGTGACAGGAGTGTGGTTTGCCCCTTGAGTTTCAGCCCGAGCTCCTCGAAGACGCTCACTGACACGAGTCCCTGGCCTCTCAGGGGCCTTGACCTTCTTACTGCGCCGGTGGCTGCCTCCACCAGTCCCACAGGAAATCTCATCCCCAACCCCTGGCCCCTCCTCCTCTTCTTGGGGTAGGCGAAACACCTCTTCCTTGGCTTGGTCCAGGTCTTTGCGGGCAGCTTCCACTTGTTCCTACCAACAACAGAACCCAAGGGGGGTCAGCAGGAGGCAAGTAGAGCAAGGAATATATAGAAATCAGCAGGAAGTCTCAGCCCCCAGAGATACTTACTTCTGCCTGCTTAAGCTCCTCTCGGCTCACTTCCTCAAGTGAGGCCTCCAGAAATTTCATGGCATAACGCTCAATGGGGGTCAGCTGCAGGGAAGAGCAGAAGTGATGAACATAGGACCTGGGCTCTTGCACCCTTGTCTATTATCTTCAGGGAAGACAGATAAAAGGGTCCTGAGTCCAGGGGGGAAAGTTACGAAGGATGAAGGCAAGAACTAATGGGTCTGTTCAACACTGACCTGTTCTACAAGGGCAGCAATCTCCTGCTCAGCCCTGGACATCTCCTCATCCTCAGCCCCAGGCCGACCAGCCTCCTCTCCCTCACCAGCAAGAAAACCATCATTCTCATTAAATTCTGCAAGTTCAGCCACTTGTTCAGCCTTGGCCTGGGTGGCAGCACGGATATCCTCTTCATCCTCAGCCCGACACAATGCCTTTAAAGAGTGTACAGAGGAAAAATAAAAATAAAAAACATTAAGACTTAAAGAAGCTTACACCCTAGGAATTAACTGTGGCAAAAATCTGAGGCCAGGTTTACATAAAACAAGGTTCACAAAAGAATTCAACCATCTAGGACCACAAGAGTTACCAAAGCAACTAAATGGTTCATTTAAGATGGAATAGATTTTACTAGCTCTTCCACTAGGGAAAACTATTTTGGGGAGACTCTTAACTCTACTTTGTTTCCTTAGGTGTCAGCTTCAAAGTTGCCTAATCAAAGACAAACAAGTAGTCACAGAAAGATCTAAACAGCATTTTTCCCCCCCTTTGATACTAGGGATTGAACCCAGGGTCACTTAACCATTGAGCCACACATCTCCAGCCTTTTTCTATATTTCATTCAGAGACAGAATCTTACTGGATTGCTTAGGGCCTCACTAAATTGCTGAAGCTGGCTTTGAACTCGTGATCTTCCTGCCTCAGCCTTGTGAGCCACTGGGATTACTGGTGTGCACCACTGTGCCTGGCTTGAACAGCACTTTATGTGTGTGTATGTGGAGGGGTACTGGGATTGAACAGCCAGCCTTTTTTCTTTTTTTGGTACCAGGTATTGAACTCGGGCACTTGACCACTGAGCCACATCCCCAGCCCTATTTTTTTATTTAGAGACAGGGTCTCACTGAGTTGCTTAATGCCTCTCCATTACAAAGGATGGCTTTGAATTCATGATCCTCCTGCTTTAGACTCTGGAGCTATTGGGATTACAGGCATGCACCACTGGGCCTGGCCCTTTTTTTAAAATTTTAAGACAGAGTCTCACTAAATTGCTCAGGCTCAACCCTCTGCTTCAGTCCCCATAGCCATTAAGATTACAGGCATATGCCACCATGCCTGGCCAAACTCATAATTTTTTTTTTTGCACTGGGATGCCTCAGGACAATATACTAAGCATATCTTTCCTTGCAATGAATATCTAAGGAAACCACTCCAAAAACCTCTGAGAGAATGAGCCGAGAGCATAGCCAGCAATGAAGGGAAGACACTTGGTAGGGAAAAAAACACCTCCATAATGTTTTATATCTGTAATTCTTTAAATACTTATCTACATCTGGAGAGCTTTGAAAAACTAAAATGCTCAGATGCAACATCGTTAAGTTTTCAATTTAGTAAATTTTGAGTTAGGGCCCAGGAATAATTTTTTAATTTTGGCAGTGCTGGGAATTGAACCCACAGCTAGGCCAAGTACTCACCAATGAGCTACA